ACAGGGAGGGGGAGGAGGAACCATTGGGGGGGGGAGGGGGGGGGGGGGCGGCCGAACCGGGATCATATATGGCTTTTATAGGGCTTGTAGTATCCATCAAAGGATTAAGCACTAAATCTCTCAAGCCCTAAACCCTGAACCCCTGCAAAAAAGAACCCTAAACCCTATACCCTAAACCCTAAACCTTCAGCCCTAAAACCAAAAAGAACCCTCAACCCTAAACATAAATCCGCAAAAGAACCCTAGACCCTCAAGCCTGAACCCTAAACCCCTGAACCCGGAGCCTGATGGTGCCAGGTTGGGTACTTGCCCCCACTCAGTAACAGTTGGATAATATTTATGTTATGGATATATTAGGCCCTTAATAGTAGCCCTATTATAGACTGTTACTGTATGGGGGCACTGCCCAAGTGCCAGGTGTGCTTCTCCATTTTCCTGCTGGGCCGAGCAGCGGGCCTCGCCTGGCGATACTGGGGACCGGGCCCTCTAAAGGTTTGAGATCCGGGAGTTGGATGAAGAGGGCTTTGGGGTTTTAGGGTTTTAGGTTTTAGGGTTTTAGGGTTTAGGGTTTTAGGGTTTAGGATTTCAGGGTTTAGGGTTTTAGGGTTTAGGGTTTAGGGTTGAGGGTTTAGGATTTCAGAGTTTTAGGGTTTAGGTTTTTAGGGTTTAGGGTTTAGGGTTTAGGGTTTGGGGTATAAACTTCCTACTTTGATATAAGTCCGTTGTACTAGGGTTTAGGGTTTAGGGTATATGCTTTCATACTTTCATATAAGACCCTTGTATGAGGGTTTAGGGTTCAGGGTATAAGCTTTCATACAAGACCTTTGTAGCAGGGTGTAGTGTTTAGGGTATAAACTTTCATATAAGACGGCTGTGTAGGTTTTATACGTTAGATTCGGCTAAGGTTTGGCGTTTATAGGGCCCATAGGGCTTATAGGTGTACCGGGTGTGTAGGGTTTAGGGGGTCTCGGGCTTATAGGGCTTTTGGGGTTTATAGGGTTTACAGGGCTTATGCGGCTTTGGGGCTTATAGGGCTTACTGGGCTTTCGGGGTTTATAGGGTTTCGGAATCAAAACCCTTTCGGTAGTGTTTTCGACCATTGAGCCACGGCGAGTTTATGCCCATAGAACCGAATACCCCTTAAACAAGGAATATACCTTATATTATAGGTATCTTAATATTATGATTTGAGGCATATTATTAGGCAGTATTGGGCTCTCTGGGTGGGGCCTAAATAAGTACCAAGACTATTCTGGGGTTCCTTATTGTAATTATAGTACAACTTACCGCAAAACCCGATTCTAATTATGAAGGCCCCTATTTTACCCGGACTGTGAGTCAAAGCCGTGTGTAGCGCGCAAAGCTCAAAAGGAGCCCGCGGTGAAAACATACGATGCCAGAGGGGTCAAAAAGGTAGTCCTACTTCGATTCATTCAGCTCCTTGTCTTGTCGTCTATGCAGTTGGCAATACATGGATGACAAATACTGGCCACAGGTTCCTAGCCATAGCTGCGGCAATGTAGCTATGCGGTCCACTCAGGGCATCAAGTCAGGACTCCACAGGCCAAAAAGTCTCAGACCTCTTGGTGATGTGGTGTCGGTGGCCAGGGCAGATGCACATGCAAACCCCGATGCACCTAATGTAGGGGCCTGAATAATAGCCTATACTGTTTTGGGGGTTCTTTCCTATGGTTATAGTATAATATATCCCAGTATAATATATCCCAGTATAATATATCCCAAAACCCTATTCTAGTTATTCAGGCGCCTATATTGCATGGATCGAGCTTGTTCGGGGGAGACACAAGCTCTCGAAAGCATTCCATGGTCCAGGCTCAATTGTACATTTATCCTTGAAGCCTTTCCTTCTAGAATCCCCTAAGCCCTACTTTGTTTTGGAACTTCCGGTGTTCCCTGTCTGAAGGAGCCGAGACGGCATCGATAATTGGGAGACAGTAGAACATACAAAACGCATGCAGTATGTCTATCATTTTACCTATGTAGGATAGCTGTGAACTGGCGAAGGCAGCAATCGAACAGCGCTAGCAGTAGTATAGGTAAGCTCAATATCAATCGCGATGTTAGCTTAACATGAGTCAATGAGCATGAAAAGAGGGAGATCTTTAGATATAAATGTGCTTTTAATTAGGCATTTTCTGCATGCACAGATGTTTGACATACACAAACGCGAACTTCCTTGCGGGTTATTTCAAACTCTCGAACCGACCTACCGAGCTTGCGTTTCCTGCTCCAAGCTGCAGATCAAGTGGAAGACGTTTGGGGCCTAGGGGAATTAGGGTCTCGGGTTTAGTCTAAGGTTGACTACTCATGGGCCCCTAGTATGGGCCCTTAAGGCTGGGATCCTTATATAACTACTATCTACCCTATATGTACCCTTAAGGGCCCCTAGAAAGGCCTACGGGTCCGCATTAGGGACCCATACTTCAAACCTTCGATTTAGGGTGTCATTTCTTGCTCTCCCGAACTCCACGTCAAGGGCCTTCTCAGATGTACAGAACTACCTGCCATACCTGCTCCTTGGTTCGATTTCTTTTCCCTCGGTTGATGATGTCTAAGGCCATTCTTATCGCTGTCGCTCTCAACGCTATCGCACGTGAAGATCACAAGTATTGATACTAACCTGTTATTACCACTGGTAGCGTCATTTATTCCTCAAGTCTTGGCCGCTAGGCAGCAGCTGGAGTTGGCGAAGCAGCGCTACTCGGCTGCACTGTACCTCTGTCGTGTCTTACCGACTGGCTGGTTGTATTTCATGAAACTCGTATGAAGCAAGTGTCGTTTTCTATGGGTTTTAAACGTGCTCTGAAGTGTTTTGGGTTTATAACATCACATCCCTACGCAATGACAATATAGAACCTAATGAAGATGGCTTCCGGACTTGTGCACCGAGGTGTTGCAGAAGCGGGAGTAGACGACAAGGTCAGCGTGATATTCTGCGACTACCGGGACGTGGTCGCCGGGGCCTTGTTAGGGGGGAGCGTCAAACCTGCAGCTTTTGTGTGGACAGTTCATGCTTGGCCTTGCACGCTGCGCCCTGAACCCTAGCCTGTACCGAATCTCAGGTTGGTACGATGCATGCCAACTGATTGGGTTAGGGTTGAGCGAATTCCCTTTGATCGTTCTGGCTGTTCCTGTGGACTACTTGAGCAGTTCAGTGAGTCTCAACTTGTATCGTGTGCATCAGTACCGTGATTGTTGTCATGAGTCTCGTGCGCACCTTACGTCTCAAAGCTCCTTCATGCAGGAGTTCAGTGCCTTTTTCACTTAATGTAGGAGTCCAAATAATTACCAACACTATTTCGGGGGGGGGTCCTTATTATTCTAATTTTGGTATAATGGGCCCCAATACCTCATTCTATTTTTTTAAGGCCCCTATAGTACTTTAAACCCTAAACCCTAAACTGTGTGAGCCTCTTTGCGATTACCCCGAACACACTGTCCTGATTCTGGATCTCAAAGGCCCGGTTCGGAGCAGAGTACTTCTCCAAAGCTGCTTCTGGCCAGCAAAGCAGGGGCGGGATGAAAATCTTGGTTTAGGGCGCCCCCCTAAACCCTAAACCTTAAACAATAAACCGGTTCTGTAGGCAGTTCAGTGGTGTAGTGGTTGCGGAGACTGGAGGTTCGGGATTTCGGAGCTTTTGCAACGCTTGCAAGGGGTCCTGTGCTTGCAGGGGTCCTATGGTAGCCGAAGTTTTCGGGCGTTCGGTATGCATTTTTTACATGTGTATATGTAAGTGTATGTGTGTATACACATATATATATATATATATATATGTGTATACACACATATGTTTTCAGGCACAATAAATAAACAAGCACATCAAACAGCTTAAGAGTACATACGTGTATGTATGGGGGCGGGAAATAGCTATGCGAATGATTATGGTTGCAATGTATGTGCATGTATGTACTGACTGTTGTACGTGCATATGTATGCATGCATGCATGCATGCATGCATGCATGCATGCATGTGTTTACATGCATGTGTTTACATGCATGCATGCATGCATGCATCATGTGTGCATCATGTGTGTGTGTGCATTTATGTATGTATGTATGTATGTATGTATGTATGTATGTATGTATGTATTTATGTATGTATGTATGTATGTATGTATGTATACATGTATGTATGTAGGCATGTAGGTAGGTAGGTAGGTAGGTAGGTAGGTAGGTAGGTAGGCAGGCAGGCAGGCAGGCAGGTAGGTAGGTAGGTAGGTAGGTATGCATGTATGTGTGTGTATGTACGTACGTACGTAGGTATGTATGTATGTATATATTTGTGCATGTATTTGTGTATGTACGTATGTATGTATGTATGTATGTTTTTATGTATGTATGTATGTACGTATGTATGTATATATGTATGTGTGTGTGTAAGTATGTATGTACGTACACATGTAAAGATGAGAACATGAAAGGATGAAGAAGATGTATGCATGCTTGTATGCAGGTATGTACATATGTATGCATGTAGCATGCATCCATGCATGTAATGTATGTACGTCGAAACGTCGGTGACAGGCAACATTCTTTCTAAGACTTCGATTTTCTTGGAAAAAAAGTGTGATCGACATGCATCTTCTTCAACATCACTGGTATGCGCGCTATTAGCCATCCTGAAGTCAGATATAGAGTAAGACGAGCCATGATGGAGACGGCAACAAAACACACAGCAACAACTGACAGAAAACATTGTATGTGTCATGTAACGGTATCTTTGACTATTCGGTTTTATTCGATATAATCGTTCCTTTCCTGAGCAATAACAGTAGTGCTGGAGAGAGAAATGAGACATGCTGATGATGCTACAATGTAGGGGTTTAGGGTTTCGGGTTTTAGAGTGATCGCAAGACATCCATGGTTTTCATTGCACAAATACCGAAACAGCGGCAACAACACCGACTAACAGACCTGCCGGACGGCCGAAACCTGAAACCGTGATGGGAAACAGGGAGCGCTAAACTTTCGGAGCCGCAGAACACAAGTAACGAGTATCGGAGCACCTTCTGGGGTCCGGGGGCCTGTGGGTGACAGCTCCTGGCTTCTTTATCTCAGCTTTACCTACGAGGGTCTACGACGCATGGGACTCTGAAGCCTACAGCCCAGTAAACCCGCAACCAAAGTTCCGTACGGTGAAATAGGAGCCCAAAGCATTAGCAATAATATGCTGGCGTTCCTTATTACACCAAGCACAATATACGCCAAAATCTAATTATCAAGGCCCCTATAGGGAACAGCATCCTCTTCTCGAACCCCGAAGGGAACAAGCGTGGAATAATTTGAGACTCGCCTTTGCAAGACTAATGTAGGAAGCTGATTTCGAAGTCCTTGTCCTATCGTCCCACAATCTGAGAATCCATACAAAGAGCCTATACAAAAAACAAAGAACCCAAGTTCCTGAATCATCACCGACATTAGCCATTAAATAAAAGCCTCCGCCCCGGGAACACGCTGCGGGCCCACACTTTGAGAGAATCATCAAGCAATGTAGGGGCGTTCATAATTACCTATACTATTTTGTGGGTTCCTTATAACTATAGTATGATATACCCCAAGACCCTATCCTAATTATTAAGGCCCCTATAGTACAGCCACGGCAACGCAGGGAACCCCTCCAAGACTCCCGCAGACATGCGCAGGTCTGTAAATCAAGGTCCCATTTTTAGGTCCGAAAACAGTACGGCATCCGCATGTAAACCTATAAGCCCTAAACCCTAAACCCGAAACCCTAGGCCCTATGAAGACCCTAAAAGGGACCTCATGTAGAGTCGTATAAGCAAAGCCGAGGTGAGCGTGGAGATGATCGAGGCCTGAGATCTTCTTTGGGCTCCAACCCGAGTGGAGCTCTCATTGCTTTTTGGGGTTTTGGGACCCACCTACCTATAGTCTCCATTGTGGTTCTTTTTTTTGGTTTAACCAATTATAAACTAAGGAATTTATAAGGTATCCCCAAAAAGGAACTACAATGGAGACTACAGGTAGGCTTCAAACGATAGGCCCGAGCTTGGCAGCTGAATGTGGAGGCTCTTGGTCCGAGCAGTCAGCTCACTACGTGCAAACGGTTTAGGGTTTAGGCTTTAGGGTTTAGGCTTTAGGGTTTAGGGGTTTTAGGGTTTAGGGTTTAGGGTGGAGTTGCCCTGAATTCTTACATGAGCCGCAAAGCTCTGAACCCCAAGCCCTGATTCAAACGTCTTCTTCAAGCTCTAAACCTAAACCCTAAACCCAAGCGGATGACGCGCTGTTGGCAGGCAGTTGGCCACGAGTACTTGCCGGTCTACTTCCGGGCTCTGGACCAGTGCCTCCCTTTGATTGGGCTTTGGGTTTAGGATTTAGGGGTTTAGGTTTAGGGTGTGGGGTTTATAGGGTTTATAGGGTTTAAGGTTTAGGATTTAGGGGGTCTTTGCATGTCATTGCATGCTTGCACGTATGGATGTCTATGTGTGTAAAAGTATACACAGCAATAGGGGCTTAAGGTCCGTTTGGAGTTCAGGGCTTGGGCGTACATTTACATGTGCACACATACAGATGGTATAGTTTCCTAGAGTGAGACTGACTGCCAGAAACAGAGACAGCAGAGAGAGTGAGAGACAGAGAGAGAGAGAGAGAAGCTACGGGCGGGGGATGCTATGTAAGGGCAGTTGCAGTTCAACACAGTCGATGCATCGGAATGATTGCAAATTGCGAACCCTTTTGAGTCTCCTTGTCACGTTTGCTCGTACAGCCGAGCCTTCATGTGCCAAATCTCCGGAGAGGGGTGCGCGTTCTCGCGCGGGGGTGGGGGGAAGCTTCTTAGGGACGAGAGTTGCAGTTGCGCGAATCATACTGCTCTTCACGGAGTGGTGCGGCGCCAAGAAGGAGCCAGCACCCAGCACATCCCGCTAGCCTAACATTCAACCAAAACCGGCCTGGATGAAATGTGAAAGATAATTTAGACTAGTGACTCGTATTCTATAGCAGTCTGTATAGTGCACTGGCTCTGTTGCTCAAGCTCTGTATGATCACAGGACTCTGCTGCATTGCGTCGAGAGTGCAGTTAGAAGGTAACACTACCAGCGGACCCCTCCCCCATGCTCAGCCGTGAAACTGAACAAAGTATGCACAGGTGCCTGAAGCCTGGTGGTATGGTGGCAATCCAAGCCATCTGTGTGCCAGATGAGCGCTACGCGTCATATAGGCAGGTGCAGCACCGGGGCTATTTTTGTTGCCTTGGGGGTTGAACCCTAAACCCTAAACCCTAAACCCGGTTCAAGGTTCAAGGCTTTCGGTGAAGGGGTTTCGGCAGAGGATGTCTCACACCAGCCGGTGCATTTGCGATTGCGGCGAGACGCGTAGAAATTTCAATATGCATCATGTAAACCCATGTCCTTTGCCCCACAGTCCCTAAACCCTTACCCTAAAAACCTTATAAACCCTTACCCTAAAAACCCTATTCCCCGACAGGAAGGGATCCGACTTCATCCGCGAGAAAATTTTCCCGGGCTCGCACTTGCCATGCCTGGCTGAAATCCACCGCTCGTGTTTCCAGCTGCCAGACTGCAGTCAGACCCCTTGGACTTGTTTTAATTCAGGATCAATATGATATGCAGGTTTATATAATATGGTGTGTATACTATGGTATACACATATGACTAGAGAGAGAGAGAGAGAGAGAGAGAGAGAGAGACAGAGAGAGACAGAGAGAGAGAGAGAGACAGAGAGAGGGAGCGGGAGAGAGATAGACAGAGACAGAGAGTTGTGTTCGGAGTTAAGGGCTTTTAGGGTTTTCATAGGAAATCGGGAATTCAGATTCTGCTAGCGTTGAAAGTTTTTAGGTTTAGGGTGTAAAGCTGAGCGTGTCGGATGTACCGTTCAGGGACGAGCTTCCAAGTTACGAACTACTCGTACTTCCTTAACCCGACTGGTGAGAAGGTGGTGCTGCCCAAAGATAGAAGGGAGAAGCTTTAAGTCCCAACCCTACGAGTCGTATTTTCGTCTGTTTTCAGATTGCATGGCGTTGCAAGAGTGCTGTGGCACTCGGAAGCTATAGTTTGTGGTGCTTTGGTATTAAAGCTTCAGGGTGGTTTTGCACTAGTTGACGATTCAGACGGACTAAAGATTGACAGAGCAAGCGGAACTCAACAATCTGTGGGCGAAGCTTGTTCTGACAAGACCTTCTCCTGATCATGGCTCGCTGAATTCGAAGAAGAGCCTAAAGACCCGCGCCGTAGCTTCCGATCACAGTGGCGCTGCCACATTTCTTATAAAAAGTCGTTCCTAGAACCTGAACCTAAAGCCCTATGCTATTTCTATCCCACACCTGCAAGCCCTACCTAAACCCTGAAACCTAGAGCCTAAGCCCTACAAGCCCTAAACCCTAAACCGTCGCGATTAAAAGCTCTGCTCGAGGGAGTCCTCCCTCAGCACCCTCTTTATCCTGAACCCTCTCATTTGGGGTTGAAAAAAGGGGCCTGAATAATTGCCAATGCTATTTTGGTGGTTCCTCATCATAATTATAGTATAATGGGTCCAAAACCCTATTCTAACTATTAAGGCTCGCTTGTTATAGAACCCCTTATAGTAACCCTTATAGGACCCCTTTAAAGGAACCCTATTCTCATCATGAAGGCCCCTACATTAGGCTTTAGGGCTAGTGTATCCCTACAGACCGTCTCTCTCTCAAAGCTCTCCTTGAGCGATTCCGAAAACCCTAAACCCTCTCTTGTAGGTTTAGGGTTTAGGCTTTAGGACTTGTTTGTCTACATAATACTTTTGTAATGATACTGATAAGAATTGTAACGTTTTTTTGAGTCTTAATAGTCTTATAGAGCCCCTTATAGTAGCCCTTATAGGACCCCTTTGAAAGGAACCCTATTCTAACTATTAAGGCCCCTACATGAGGCAATAGTGGGTATCAAGGCTCTCCTTGAATCTATAATGGTAACAACAATAGCGCTAAACCCTAAACCCTAAACCCGGTGTATCGAGGCTCTCCTTGAGGGAGTGTGCAGCTCCTTTCTCCCTGGGCCTGTCGTATGCGGCCACTCTCAAAGAGCCTTGGCTTGAAGATCTTCCTCGGTCCTCCACGGTTTAGGGTTGAGGGTTTAGGGTTTAGGGTTTAGGGTAGCGTTGTTGGATTTTGGGTTTCGGGTTCAGGGCTCTTTGTGCTACATGTTGATGAACTTCGTGCGGCGGTTGGAGAATTACGGCTCTTTGTCTAACGTTTAATGTTCATGGCTTAAGGCAATTTACGGTTTGGGGTTGAGGGCTGTTTGTGTTACGATGTATAAGGTTAATGGATTACGGGTTTAGTGTTTAGGGTTTACGGGTTCGGATGATGCGTAGGTCGGATTGGGGCTGTAGTTTTGATCGGGGGAGTGACATCGTAGTACACATGCATGTGCACGCATGTTCCTCAAGAGTAGGGATTGAAGATTATTGAAGTATGCAGGACTTAGTCACTTAGTCGCTTCGAACAGGCATGCAAGTGCTTGCTTTTTGTTTCGCACATATTCAAGTGTTCCGAACAAGGCTTGTATAGTACAACGGAATCATGCGTATGGTTTGGAGATCGTGCTGAAAGCTGCCTCTTCTTGCTACACCTTTCTACCTCTAAGTCACGACTTTTGCCTCTTCTACGCCACCAGTAGCCGTGTTGCCGCCCATGGCAACTTACGGACTATGTATGGCAAGTTTCGGTCTAACAGCAATCTGTATGTTGGCTGCGGACGGAAGAGTTGGTAAAAGTTTCAATCGAGCATCCCAGACGTGACGAGGGTTTCGAGTAAACAATGACCAGCCCCGTCAGAGGGTCGAATCATATTTGTGTGTGCCTTCCGTGAACCGAAGCAGGCTGAATGTCTCGACTTATGGAACCCTAATAAACCCTTCGAACAACCCTAACCCCCTAATTGAAATTATGATGGAGCTGAGTGTGAAGATGGTGCTACGGTAAAGCTGGCTCCCCACAGGGCTGTTCGGCTTCTGCGGGCTTCACACCTATTCAGCCGGAGCCGCCAACTCTGCGCATCCCTGCCTGCCTCTAGCAGTCCTTGGTAAGGAGTGGAGGCGGCGATTCACGGTGAACGAATCCCGGAGCCATGTCTGGCATCTTAGGTTTGGGAAGTCGGGCTCAGGATTTCAGGCTGGGTTGCAGTGTTTGGGCCGCTGGGGGGACTACCTGAAAACTAGATCCCGTACTCTGAATCCCTAAAACGTCATCCTTAGCCCTAGGCTTAGCACCTAAGATGCCCTAAACCCTAAACTTAAACCCTAAGATACTCGAAACCCTGATCCCTACCGCAGATGAACCAGGCGCAAAGCGAAGATTCAAGGACTCAAGCCTTTTGTTGTTCAGGCTCCTGGTATACACTCTGACATACATGGTTTATCATCATCTAATGTTATTGCAAAAATTACAGCTATATGGTCATCTAAGGTTATACACTGATGCATGTATGTATTAAGATAGATTGTCAGACAATCGTTCTGTTCATATCGACTGGGAACCCACAAACTACGTCATGAGCCTGTAACCTAGAGGCCTACTCGAAACCCCTAAACTCCGAAACCCTAAATCTTAAACCCTACTTGTGGAGACAGAAGTGCTAGGATCCGGCAGCTGGTGAGCAGCCGCAGCGGCGAGGGCTTCGACGATAATTTCGTCCGTCGGTTTCTTGCCGAAGAAGCATTCGAGAGGTCTGTGAAAGGGTTTAGGGAGGGGAACCGAAGCATCAGGCGTCCTATCCTATTCGAGGGAGTGGGTCGTAGACCGCTCGGACATGACAATGTGACGTGGAGATAGTCAGGGGTTCCTCAATGGGAGGCAGACTTGGCTGGAACCTGTTACCCTCCCTGCTCACCGGAAGCAACAACCCGAGCTCGACATAGAAGACGTGTTGCTGTGACGGTTGCTTAAGAAGCAGAATATGACGCCGAAGATGTTGATGATGATAATTATAGTCGTGATGATGACGGTCATGACGATGATGATGATTGATGGACGCTGCTACTGAAGCTTGTGCTGTTTACCGTGGCTGTCCTCGTTGTGAAGCCTGCTCACTGCATGATGAACATGCCCGTTCATGGCAAGTCTTTCTCTGCGTTTTAAAGACTGAAGAGGATGCCTACGCGAAGGTGGAACTATTACTTTGCGTACTGTGAGACTGGCTTCCGCCTAAAGCACATTGACGTTTGGCAGTGCCTCGGCACGAGCTGGGCGGGGCTCCAGAGGGATTCTTCCTTAGATCACAGCCTTAAACTTAAACCATCTCATATCCTAAGCCCTCAACCCCAATTCCTCTAAACCCGAAACCCGAAACCCTAAACCCTCACCCAATCCCAATTCCTCTGACCCCTAACCCCGAAACTCGAAACCCTAAACCCTCACCCCGAAACCCTAAACCCGAAACCCTAAACCCAAAACCCGAAACCCTAAACCCTAAACCTAAACCCTCACCCCGAAACCCTAAACCCTAAACCCTCACCCCGAAAGTCTAAACCCGAAACCCTAAACCCCGAAACCCTAAATTCTAAACCCTAACCCCGAAACCCTAAACCCTAAACCCGAAATCCTAAACCCTAAACCTTCACCCCGAAACCCTAAACCCTAAACCCGAAACCCTAAACCCTAAACCCGAAACCCTAAACCCAAACTCGAAACCCGAAACCCCTAAACCCCAAACCCGAAACCCCAAAACCCGAAACCCCAAACAGATTCTTCCTTGGACCCTTGCCTTGAGGCCTTGTGAGTCTTAGACATCGCAGAGACTTAAAAAAGCATTTGAGGGTTTAGGGTTTAGGGTTTTAGGGTTTAGGGTTTAGGGTTTTAGGGTTTAGGGTTTAGGGTTTAAGGTTTAGGGTTTAGGGTTTAGGGTTGTGCCACAGACAACATGGCAAGTGTAAGCTGACAAAAGATCAAGCTCGTGATGCTGCTGAAGATGAAGATCGTGAGGGTCAGTCGGTTTAGGGTTTAGGGTTTAAGGCTTGGTTTAGGGATGATGATGATGACGACGATGATGACGTTGAAAGCGTGAGGTTTCGTCACTTCTGCTAGATGAGGGATGCCTTGCTGCGACTTTTCTTGTAAGACATCTTCAGTAAAAGTAGATTGAAATGTTTCTGCTGCACCGTGAAATCCTGCAACCGTGGGATGCTGAAGCTTCCCGAAACCGTAAGCCCTAAATCGAGGAGTACAGGCAGCAAGATTAGCAATAAGTGTAGTGGTGCTTGCAACCGTTCTGACAGTTTGACTTGGGCTTTCGATTCTAGTGCAATGCGAGTGCTAGCCACGTTTTAATCGCTTATCGAACAAATCTCTAGAACATGCATTTGGTACCGTGATGTTGTGCTGCCATGCTTGCAAGACCGGGACTCTAAAAGCCCTGCACCCTTGGACCTGAGCCACGTTCTGGACACAACCGGGCTGAGGAGTAAGATTTCCTCTCCCATGACTTTCGAGTGCAGGCTCTGCTTCCTCAAGGACGTTTCCCTGGCAGAGCGTGTGGGTGCCTCAAGGGCAGGAGGGCGAGAAGTGCAGAAACAATGCAGGAGTCTGCCTTCCAGGCTGAGGGTTACGGAAGGCAGTGCCCTGTGCTCCCCATGTGTAGGTCGTCAATGCTTGATCCACCGTTCGGCTTCTTACCAGATGTGCAGATCTCAAATCACTTCTGCGGAACGCAGGACCCTTCAAACTCAAACCTCCAACGGCATGAGTTAGGAACCTTATTAACATCAGCAAACTTAGCGAATTCCAGGGCCCTTCCCTAAGGGTCCATGTACCAAAGTAGCATATACTTTGGCCTTAATGTAGTCCCTATATAGGTACTTTAGGGCCAATGTATATACTATTTGGGTACATGGACCCTTAGGGCTACACACAGAGCTGCAAGGACGCATCTGACCCACCTTTTTTTGTCCTGTCTCTGGGCATTTTGGGGTCTAGGCACTGGCTCATGGAAAAACAATACTCCCAGTTGCGCTAATGTGGGGTCCTAAATAATTATCAATACTTACTATTTTGGGTTCCTCATTATATTCATTATAATAGTATGATGGATCCCAAAACCCTATTCTAATTATCCAGGCCTTTCTTATAGAATCCCTTATATTATAGTAACCCTTACAGGACCCCTTTAAAGGAACCCTATTCTAAGCATACGGGCCCCTACATTGGCCGAGCCTCTTGGGGTCGTCCCCCGAGCGCTCATTAGGGATTTGGGGTTCAGGGTTTAGGGTTTAGGGTTTTAGGGTTCAGGGTTTAGGTTTCAGGGTTTAGGGTTTAGGGAGGGTTAGTTTCGGGGTCCTTATGACAAGGTTCCTACTATTTAGGGTACTATAAAGTTTATATAGGGTCCCAAATTTTTGGAAACCCCCCATAACTTGATACAAAATTACATATTCAGAAATGCAGGGACACACACACACATATATATATATAAGCATATATATATATATATATCAATATACATGCGTATAAACACACATACCCTCAACTGCCTTAGGAACCTGCGGCGATCCTCGTTTCTTTTTCTCCCAGGTTGGCAAGACGGAGTAAGCCAGCATCTACGTTCTTCTTTGCAGGCCGCCGGCTCCGGGACTCTGTTGCGGAGAAGCGTAAGGCCTTTACATAGAGCTTCTTCAACGTGTGCAGGGCTACAGCTATACATGAATATAATCCAGGAATATAAACATGAAGGATACAGTAATTACAAGTTCACACATTGAACTAAACTAGTGAATGAACGCATAAACTTTCGAATACAATAGAAGGCAAACACTTAAACGGACAGATACATTAAACGGATAGATACATGAGCATGTACACATATGTATGTATGTATGTGTGCGTTTCTGCACAAGAATACAAGACGGTGTGTATTGGATGTCAGATGTTTGCATATGCACACGTACACTTCCATGTTCATCGGCATACAGACAGTGTTGGTGTATGTGTAGGCCTCAGTGTATGCATGCTTGTTATCTCTCTCTCTCTATATATATATATGCACATATACATATAAGGGGTGCTTATATATTTTACTTACTCTAGATTCATAATATACATATATACACACATACGGAAATCCTTTCATCCTTACATACATGTACGTGCATACATATATCATATCGTATCATATCAGAGCAGATCGGATCTGATCAAGTGACTTCATATCATATCAAAACATTCCATCTCACCCCATCTCATCGCATCTCACCTCATCGCATATCATATCCGACTGTTCATGATACAATTCCTGCACTACCTTAACGACCCTAAGCTATGGGAGGTATGGTATATTCCGTATGATGGGTAATGCAGGA